TTTCCTCATTTGGGTCTTTAAACTTCGAATTTATATACTCATTTATAGCATTTATACTTCAAAACTCTTCTTTGGTACTTCTTTATCCAATCTAACAACTCAGTATCTTTATACATACTAACTTAGACTTCTTTATAATATCTTTGAACGAATTGACGGTTTGGTCAAATTGACCAGAAGTACTACAAATAACAACTAACTCATAGAATGGGTTCTTCTCATCTAGTTCTTGTTGTTGTGCAGCCATTTTAAGATAAGTGAAAGTCTTACCCGACCCAGGTGGTGCAATTAGACCTGTTATACCATTCTGAGCAAATAAGAACTTGTCATGTATAGGTTTTATCTGAGCATTTTCTAACTTCCTCTTGTTCTTGTTTAAAACATTCTCAAATTTCTTGTCAATGTCAGCAAACTTTTTTTCTAACATATTTTTAGAAAAATTAAAATTTTTATCTTTTTGAAAATGTCTAGCGATTTCGCTATCTATATTCGAGACAAGCTTTTCGACAGCAAAACATCTGTCGACCATAAAATCTTACATAGTGTAAACAAGAAAGGTGAATTTGTTCTAAAGTTCTGTTTCTGGGAATATGACAAGAACCATAAAACATTACAAAGAGCAGTCTTAAAATTTGTCAATGACAGACTTGTTGACAGAGATGACGCCGATTGGAAAGATGAAGTCCAACAAAAGTTCTTAGAATGCAAAGAAGACACATGCGCTGTTCTTGAAGATGAAATAGAAAACAGAATAGAAGAGCTATTAAAGGACAAAGAACTTTTACAAAAATATGGTTCTGAGAATTTGACATAACTCCACCAGAAGAAGAAGAGAGAAAAGAAAGAAAAGAAAGAAAAGAAAGTAGAAGAGAAGAAAGAACCTGAACCAGTTCCAGAGAAAAAGAAATTTGACATGTAAAAATAAAATTTTATTTTTAGAACATTTCTGGGTCAATGTCAATGTTCTCTTCCTCTTTAGGAGCAAACACTGGCTTAGACTCTAAAATCTTTTTACCCAATTTACCTTGAACTTCAACTATCTTAGACTCATAATATTCATAGTCGTCTGCTTTCTTTGGTTCATAAGGTATAACAAGTTTGTATGCTTTGCCTTCTTTAAGGTTTGAGAACCTTCTGTCAAAATTTTCTTTGACTGCTAACAAACCTTCTATGTCTAAGTCTTCAAATTTCGCACCATTTTTAGTCACAATAGCAAACTTAACTGGTTCGATGTTCCAAACTTTGTCAAATGTAGACTTTTCAAAATGGTAGAAGTAAACATTCAAATAAGCGAATGGGTCTATCTTTGACTTCTGTCATGTACTTATTTGACTGAATGAATTTTCCATCTTTTCTATCGGATAAAAAAATATTTTTTTTAAAATTTACTCAAAAATTTTTCTTTGTATATACGCCGTTCTGAACATCTAAAAGACTTTTGACATTTGCCAAGAATGTTCGTTTAGAACGCTGCCATATAACCATATTCTTGACAATATTGTTTATACGAATCGTACAATGACCTTTCATCTAAACACTCAAAGTTAGTTCATCTATAAACAGTTCATATACACTCTTGTTTGCTTCTAACAATGTTTGTCTTTCTTCGGTATGTGGAATTTGTCTTGGATTGAACTTAGAAATATCTAATGTCATGAAATATGAGAACAAGTGGTTGTAAAAGTCAGATGTCAAAGTTTCTGCTAAGTCGTCAAAATATTCTGTATCTTGCATATGAGAATCTGACGTTCTGACAACTACATATCTTCTGTCAGAACTTTCTAACTTCATCGGAACAGTTGTTTGAAACCATAATGAAGTTTGCAACATTTTCACAAACTCTTTGGTCTTTATACTTTCTTTCAACAACTCCAACTTTGTCTGTTATAAGACTCTTCAAAGCATCTGAGTTTAAAACTTTTGTTGTATCTATACTTTGAAGTTCATTGCAAACTATAAGTTTCATATTCTCTATTGAAGAGTTAAACTTGCCACAGATGTTTTCTAAGTTTGTCATATTAGGGTTCGAATAGCCCTCTAACAGTTTGCAAAGATATCTGTAAAGAAAGTGTTCTTACCTGTTCCTTGTTTTCCAATTATAATGAGAGCAGTTTCATTTTTAGCACTTGGATGTTGTAAGATGTTTGCAAACCAACATAAGATATACTCATAGACTCTTTCGTTTCCATTGCATATAATTTCTTTGACATGGTCTAACCAAGCTTCTATAATATTTTCTTTCCATTCTACTTGTTCGTATTTATATCCAGTGAAGATAGAATAGAAGTTTGGAGAAGGTGTATAGAACTTTATACACGAACTGAAAAATCTTCTAACTTTGACAATAAGATATCCCAAGCATCTAACATCTTCATTCCAACTTGTACGACTTTTATTTTCTTAAGTTTCTGTCTACATTCTTGTTCTGAAACTATTGTCGCTCTTGGTTTGTTAAAGACAACATCCCATTCTTTCATACATAACATTCTGGGGCAGAGTCGACATAAATGACTAAACGTTTCAAATTCTCGACTGCTTTGTTATAGTCTCTAAATGGACACATATTTCTGAAGCTTGGAAGTCATAAAAATCTGAAACATCTATTCTGTACATTTTTATAAAAATAAAAAAAAATATTTTTTTATTCTTGACTTTGTTGTTGCATTTGTTGCATTTGTTGTTCTTGAGCTATTTGTTGTTGAAGTTGTTCTTGTAATACAATACTTTCACCAGTTGCATCTTCCAATTCGAAACTTTCTGCCGTCATTGACAAATACATAGGACATAAAAGTTTTACAGGAACAAAGTTTGCGTCAACTAAGGTTAAGTTTATGTTTGCTAAAGTGTTTGAGTTTACTAAGCTGAAAACTCTGCATTCGAATGAACAATAGGCAAACCAGCAGAGAAAGTGTTGTTTATACGCATGAGTATCTTTTGGTCATAGTAGTTTCTGTCGACATTCGAATAACACTTTGAACCTAAGTTTGAAACAATATATAAATTGGTGTGCTTAAAGTCAATGGAACAGACATTCCTTGTATGACACCTTTTCCTGTTATAGGAAACTGTTGGTAGTAAAAACCAGATATAAGTTTTGTATTATAGCTCATATCGTTTATAGTAAACTCAGTCGGACATCCAAACATAATGAAACCTGCTCTAGTTGCAGCACATGTTACATCCGTCCTTAAAGTATTAAATAAGTCAACAAAACCTGTTGGTGGTATATCTGAGTAAGTATCTTCAAAGAAGTATTTTTTACCATTCACAACAACAAAGTCTTCTGGTGTCAAAAGAGCAAAACAGGCTTTAGTCGTCATTGTGTTTAAGGTTAGTTTACAATATCGTCCTTGAGGACTTTGTAAGTTTGTTGTTATAGAATTATATGACTCAGGGTTTTTAGTCGTAATAGTATAAACCATTATGTCTGCCATTTACTTAGCAAATAAATTTTAATGAAATGTTGTGGTCGTCAAATATTTTTATGACGTCTGGGAAACTATATTTAAGTTCAACGTTTCACCTCCTTTCATAACGTATATCTTGTCAATGACATTATATGAAACACCACAGCAAGCAATGTCGGGTTCTATTTCTTTGATGTTTATATCGTCTGCCTCTGTCAAAAGTTTCAATAGTTCTTTCAAAACTTCATGAGGTGCATGACATATGAGTTCACTTTTACAGGGTTGTGTTCGACCAAGTTTAACATTATACCCAAAGCTTGACAAATCTTCTCCTGAGTTTTAAGTTTGTCTTTAAGTTGTTGGTAGTCGTTTCGAATATCTGCAACAGAACTTAAGTCTCTGCTAACTTCAGGGTATGTTGGTTCTTTTACAGGAACTATTGTTATACCATCTTCGTCTTCGTATGGTTTCCCCACTTCAACATCTCTTTCTTTGACATTGACAACAACACTTTGACTGTTTGTTTGAGTTGGTGAATTTAACTTCACATCTGCCACCGCCATTAAACCTTTTGAAACACTTACGCTTCTATTTTTCGGAAATGACATTTTACTTAGAATAAAAAGATGGACGTATTTGAGTATCTCTTCGAATTGAAGCAAAACAAAGTTTACACACACAAACAATACAAATACATTGACAGAATAGTTCTTTACACAAACAATGGAAAATGTTATAGAATAGCAGTCTTTGCTGAACCAAAATATTTTCATAAAGCAAAGAAAGTTGGTATAACTGAAATGGTGAAAGTTCTTGAAGCAGACAAAAATATAACAACAAAACTGACCGATATTTCTAAAGGTAAGTTTAATACAATATTATAAAAACTGGCGTACTGTCAATATTTGACGGAGAGAAGTCAGTTCAAGAACAACTTACTGACCTGCTGCCAAAATCTGCTCGATGGAAGCTGTCGTTATACCAATCTGAGGAGCCCCAGCAGGTTTCATCGAACGAATCTTCAAAAGAGCATCTTCCGTGAAAAGTGCTATTGGTTTTGTAAACTTCTTTGCTCTCAATTCATCTGGACCGTCTCTGTCACCAGTATATTGTATTTGAACTGTACCAACAGTTGAAATACCACCCATAAAGTCTTCTGAGTCAGCAAATGGAATGCCAAGCCAAAAGTTTGAACGGTCTCCATTTGTATATTGAGTTTTTTGACTCCTGTATGAGTCCATACTTTCACATATGGCATAATAGAACTTTGCATTTCAGGGTTAATGGTTGTTGTGAAGTTGTTGTTAAAGTTCATAGCATCTAATGTCAAGTTGTATGACCTCATATCCTCAACTGTAGAATATTCTTCTCTTGGATAATATTTGCCATCTATGTTTATATGGTATTTAATACCAGGGTTGTAGAAGCAAGAATAGTCATTTATAGTTCGTCTGAACAGTACAAACATAGTATCTGCATGTTTCATTGCAGTTGTTAAAGCAATATCTGTTCTTGCACCTGGGTCAGCACTTTGGTTTCCAACTTCACCTGCAAAGTCTTTGACAGATATTTGGTGTATAGGGAACATAAGTGGAACTGCAATATATTTGGCAGCTAAAGCATTTGAAATATCTGGGTCCAACATATAGACTGCAAGTCTGCTTTCTATTCTCTTGCATTCAAATTTTTCGCATGTGAACTTAACTGGGTCCCAAGCATTCCAGCAGCATTGAAATAATAGTTTACTTCAGTGTTGAGGTTTGAGAAACCAAAGTCTAAGTCAACTTTGTCTTTGCAAAAGTCGGCGAATGATTTTTATTTGTTCCCTACTTCTGTAAGAGTGAATGGGTCTTGTGTTGGTGCAATGACTAAGTTATTTTTGCTTGGAGTAAGTTCGATAGAAATTTTTCCTGCCCAGTTTGGCAAGTATCTTAAAAACCTGAAGATGAGGAAAGATGACAAAGGAACTCTAAGTTTCAGTTTTACTTTGGTTACTGGCTGCAGTTTGTCCAGAAAGGTTAACATAAACTCCTGGAACGTTAGGGTCAAGTCTTCTTATTTTCTCAATAGTTGCATACTGGTCTGTTTGTTCTCTAGCTTGTGGTTGTACTGAGTTTCTCAAAGCGAACCATTCATAGTTTGCCCATGTTACTGTTTGAACTAAGTCAGAGTTAGAATATATCTTATATCCCATGAAAACTTCTGGAGCATATTGGTATCCGACATAGAAAATTCCATTGCAACCTTTCTTGTCAGACAACTTGGCAGAAGGTTTTATTTCAATGTCTTGTTCCACGTATAAGAAAGAGTTGTCAATAGAAATTATATGAAACCTGTCGCAAGCAATATCTACTGTTGTTGAAGAACCTTCTCCAAACTCACCTACGTTTCCATAAGAAACAGCAGTTGTATATTCGTAAGTTCCAGGAACTATTTCTGACCTTCTAATGGCATTGTCGCATTCGTTATACCATTCGGAAACATTTCCATTCATAGCATCCAAAACTGTTGGCGTTATATTCTGAGCGGCGTACATTTCATATGAGTAAAAATATAGAATAGTTGGATTTATATGTCATAATAGAACCCACGTGGACCAAGCTTTACTTTCTTCCTGACTGAGTTTTTAACTCTTCTTTTTCCTTCATTGCCCTCTGCTTGAAGTTGTTGCATCTTTGCATTATGTTCATCTAGTATGTTGCAAATTTCCCATGTCCTTTTTGCCTTTTGGCTCTGGTCGCCCATCTCAGGTAACCTATATCCTAGAAAGAGTTTGTCATAGTCTGTATTTGAGTCTTCGCGTATTGTTTGCATGACTCTTTCCTGAGTTTCCGGTTCAAGCTCTTCAAACAGTGCCTGTCCATATGGAATATGCTCGTTTCCAAATATATGTTTTTGTAGCCATTCTGGTTTTCTTTCCATGTTACCAACTATATCTTTTGTGAATGGGAAAGCTTTACCCAATCTTTCAGTCTTGCGTCGTTTATTTCTGTAGTTGGTTTTATTTTGTCAAGGAACATGTTTTTCAATACTAACATTTCATTTGGTACTGTCCATTTGAGTTTTCTTAAATATTCATCCCTTCTCGTTCATTGTCTGCAAAGTAAGTTTTTATGACATTTTGTAAACTTTCGTTTGCAAGGTCATGTACAATAGGTTCTCTTCCTTCTCTCTCCCTAACTTTCTTTCTAAACTCTTCACCAAATATACCATCTCTATGGTTCTGTGTAGTTCTTTGAGATAAATGTTCTAGAACGTCAGGTGTTATATTTCCATCAGCCATGTTCATTTCATACTGGTCCAAAATATCTGCATGTTTCATATCTTTCAATGGCATTAAAGCCGCGCTGAAAATACCAGCTATATCTCGTTCACCATTCGCTTCCATTGCGTCTACAACTTCTTGGAATTGAGGTTGTAAGTTTATGAACCACCTATCCGGATTAGCTTTATGACCCCATCTCATTGTAGTTCCATCGTCTGCAGAAACAAAAGTAGGTTTGTTTCCATCTTGGTTAGGTTCTGAATGAACTTTAAACAATGTTTCATTTCTATATGTTTTCTTGAAATTTAACCTTTTATCTTCACCGAGTTCATCCGAAGATTGAACGTTAAATGCTCGTAAGTAAAAAGGGTTGTTGTATTTGTGTACATTTTTTTTCAGTTCTTCCATTCTATGCTGAATATTTTCATCTGGTGCTGGAGTCTTTTGTATGTCGGCAAACATTTTTCGATATTCTTCTACTATGTCAGCCGAATTTTTTTTAGACTCTTGGAAATATTCCATATTCTCCGCATACTCTTGTTGAGGGTCAAGATTTTTCGGCTGTTCCAAATCTTCATCTAGTTCTGTGAAGTTAGTTTCCAAAGGAGTGACTTGTTCGTTTCCTTCAGGCTCTTCTAGCTGTTGTTGCTGAACTATTTCTTCCATGTCTGGTTGTATCTGAACTATTTCTTCCTGTGGAGTTTCTTGTACCTCATCTGCTGGCATTTCATATATTCCGAGACCGTTTTTAACAATTTCCCTATCTACGTCATCCGCATTCATAAGCTTTTGTTCTTTCGTTCCGTCTCTATTTTTTACGCGTTTCATGACGAAAGTTGAATTGTCATTTAGCTCTGACATCAAATATCTCGGAGTAAATTCATCCATGTCATTTGGATGATATGCTATTAAATCATATCCCTTAGCGAGCTTGTATTTTCCAGGTTTGAGATTATATCCGTTTTGGTGCTGAGCCATAAAGCTAAATAGGTTCGGGTCAGTATTTCCATCCTTGAACTTTCCAATAGCTTCTTTATATCTGTCACTAAAGTCAACAGTATCTGGGAAACCACACTCTTCTTTAAGCATTTTTAAGAATTCTTGGTTTCCTTGTTCTCTACTTCTTTTATGTCCTTGCTCTGTTTGTGGTTGTTGTTGTGCAGGGTTTTGAACTGTTGGTTGCTGTGCTGGTTGTTGTGTTGGTTGTTGTGCTGGTTGTGGAGGTGGTTGTTGTGCTGGTTGTTGTGTTGGTTGTTGTGTTGGTTGTTGTGCTGGTTGTGGAGGTGGTTGTTGTGCTGGTTGTTGTGTTGGTTGTTGTGTTGGTTTTGGTGCATGCCTGTGTCTGTGTCCATGTGACGATGTAAATGTTTTAGGTAGTCCTGGTGCAGGTGCTTCTCTTGGAGGGTTTGGTGGTATATAAGTTCCACCAGCTGGCACATATGTTCCATCTGCAGCGTAATGTCCTACCTGACTTTTCGTTCTTAAGAAAGCATTTACTAGGTCTGTTTTGGTCTGTTGTAACTCTTTTTCTTGACTTTTCACAACAGTTGCTCTAACGGCGTCATAGGCACTTTGAACTGCCTGTCTCGTTGCTGCATCTGTTATTTTCGTCATATTTTGTGCTACTTCTCTTAACTCTTTGTCGAAACCTTCAGACTTCAGTTTCTTTCCAGATGAGAAGTCGTTCACTTGTTTCACCTTACTATGAAGAGCTTCGAAGGCGTTCTTAAAGTCAGCATTCGTTAAAGCTTCATTTGAACTGTCTTCATCCGCTTGTATTTTTGTCCTTATTGACCCTATGAGTTGGGCTGCTTTAGCGTTGGCTTGGGCATCTAACCAGTCATTGTTAGCTTTTATATATTCTGCGCTTTTCATTGCCTTTTGCATAGCCGCGTCGTTATTTTTACTTTCTTGTGCTAAGTTTTCATACTGTACGGTTTGGTTTTGCAACTGTAAAAGTTTTTCTGCCTTTACATTTGCTTCAACTTCTTTTTTATACTCATCGCTATCCATATATGTCTTCAGGGCTTTTTGTTTTATCTCTTCATCTTTCAGTATTTTATATTGAGTAGTATGGTTTTTCAAATTTATGACATCTTGTTCCATTTTTGCTACTTCTGCTGCTTTTTCTGACACTTTTTTTGCATATTCCTCTGTACTTAGTTCTTTCAGTTGTTCTTCTTTCTTCTTTTTCTCTACGTTTAACTCATTTAGTTTCTTTGTGTGTCTGTCATATTCTAGTTTCTTTTCGTTTTCACTTATTTGCTTCTGTATGTCTATGTTTGACTTTTTGACATCTGTTATTTGATTTTTGAGTGAACTCAAATTCATTTGACTTTGAGGGTTATAAGCTGTTCCGTCTGCAGCTCCACCATAGCCTGCCATTTTCGCTAAAAGTGCCGCTCTTAAACCTCCACTCTGTGCACCAATAACTCGGTTTAAAAGCATAGGGTTGCTTGACATTTGTTGCAACATAGTGGGGTCATTCATCATTTGTTGTTGCAACTGTTGTTGTGGTGTCAGTTTTACTATTGGATGTTTCAATGCTCCCTTCCTCTTACGTATATTCTTACGTAGCTTACGTGGCATTTTAAGTGAAGTTAAAAAGCGGTTTTTGACAGATGTTTATATGACACTTTTTGTTCAGCTCAAAAAACTACTCGGTCAAAGTGTTGTCAGTTTTGTAAAATAACCGTCCTATCTCATTCTATAAGGGAAAAAGGCTTCTCAAAGTATACTTCCTTGGAACGCCTGTAACTTTTCCTGTAGCGACGATAGACCCTTACTTGTCCGGACAAAGTTATACTATTTTGAGTGCTCTACAAAAAAAGTCAATAGCGACGACTCTCAAAAACCGTTGTGTAAAAAGTTTTACCGTTGGACAAAAAAGTATATATAGAAAACAAAAAACGTTTATAGTTCATTCAATATTTGAGATGGAACGGTTTGCCAACGGTAACTATTAAATAAAATAAAAAAATAGAGGGGGTTACCGTTGACGAAAACGGTTTATTTTAAACTTTTCTATGAGTAGTCCGAAAAAAAAACAGTTCATTTTTGTCTAATGTACGCGTCTCGAACAGTGAAGCCCAATTCAATAGAATACTATCTCGAAAAACAAGAAGCTGACACTGCTATTCAGTCTTTAATACAGAACCAAGCTCAGGAGAACTCAAAAGACTCCCAATTCAAATCGACATCCAATTCGAAGCAATTAAAACTTGACACGAATGTTTTAAAACACAGCCCGCCCGAACAAATACAGCTCTAAGAATAGACCAAAGAATACCGAACAAAGAGTTGAGGTCAAGATTGAAATTACAATCGGATGAGTATTTTTCCCTTAACAACCAGGGAAATACTCCATATAACCGTATCTACACAAATACCGTTAAAGAAACAATAACGGCATACACAAAACTCTGTCAATTGGTCCCCAACCAGGACCAATTGACGGACATTATATGTTCCTACCTTCCCATATTTGCTGAGTGTGTGGAAGGTAGGACATTGTTACAAGCTTGCTTACGTATGCCACCAAATCTCCGTCAACAATTTGCTCAAATTGTACATGAATTTAAAGCTTTTAACAACGGATACGATGAAGATGAAGTAGCAGATGAATTTGGGGAAGAAAAAACATTTTTCCCCTCATATAATACGCCTGCAACAGTATTTCCTACTAATGAATTTCACAACTATTGTGTCGTTCATTTAATTGTTGTGGATATGCCCACAGGTGAAGACATTCTCAGTGGTGACTTCATCGAAGTCTGTATCAATACAGAATTGGGAGAAGATGAGTTGCACAAATTCTCCTACGTCGAACATATATTCAAACCAGCACACCAACTCTTTATCGAAACTGAAATAACACTCACACAAAATATGTCCATCTCATTTAAATCCAAATCAGGACGTCCATACAGAATTTGGATGAACTACGTCCTCCTCCACTACGCCGACGATGACGAAGAAGAGGAAGAAGAGGAGGAGGAAGAAGAAGAGTCCTCCGAATTCACACCAGAAGACTAACAATTTTCCGAATAAAAACTTCATTTATACTAAACATCTTCGGGGCTAGAAGGGGCGCAGCCCCTGGAAGCCCCACTACCTTTTTTTTTTTTTTTTTTTTTTTAATTAAATCTAGAATATTGTATTATGCTTAGTATTATTTCATTTTTCTCATTCAATTTAGAATTTACAAATGTCAAAAAATTGAGAGCTGCCACTTTTGATGAATTTCTGTTTATTACAGTTCATTTTTTATACGGTTCACAGAGGTTACCTGTAGTTAGTATCTAGTAATTGGGTACCAAGGGTCTACGCCCCTTAGTACTCAAATTACTAGAATCTGCAAAAAACCGTTTGACACGTAAAATATTTTGACATTTACAAAAATAAAAAAATAATTTTTTAAAAAATAAACTTAAACATTAACGTTAAAATATTTTGACATTTACAAAAATAAAAAAAATAATTTTTAAAAAAATAAACTTAAAAATTAACGTTAAAATTTTTGACACTACTCAAAATAAAAAAATAATTTTTTAAAAATAAACTTTAAAAAATTAACGTTAAAATTTTTTATTTATTTTTTTATCATAGATTTTAACACCCAGAGTAAAAAAATAATTTTTAAAAATAAATTAACTCAAAAAAATTTTAATTTCTGTATATACTAAATTTTTCTTTGAGCCCATCTCGCCGCTACGCGGCTTAGGGTAGATCTAACCCGATATCTAACCTCATTTCTAACCTTGTGAATTTCAACAGTAAATATGCTGGCATGATTCAGGGATGTCATCGCTGCTGTCTTCAAACTCTTTTATAGATTCATACCATAAACGAGCTTCACGGGAGATGAGGAGTAATGAAACGATAATTAATAATTTATTAGTAAAATTCATTTTATATAAAAATAAAATTTTATATCTAATCTGATTTTTCGAATTCTTCTAATTTCTTCTTCAGTTCTGCTATGTTATCTTCATATAATTTAATCTTTCTTAATATTCCATCTTTATTTAATGGCTGCTTAATTTTTCTAAATTGAACTCTACCATCTTTCATTTGATGAACATAAAAACCTTCTGGAATAGTTCCTGATTTAATGTATTCAACTAAAAACTTTTGTTTTGTTGCTTCAGTAATTTTAGTACTCATTTTATTAAAAGTAAAAAATAAAAAATATTTTTAAAATTAACTTTATTTTTTATGAGGACTCTCTGAGTCCATCTGAGCCGCTTAGCGGCTTCGTCGTCTTTTCCTTAATTCCTGCGGATCAATTAGGTCGGTTGAAGGTCTATTACTTTCTTTATAGTGTTTATAAAGTTTATAAGCCGCTATATGATAAGGATAATTAAACCATAAATACGCTTTACCTAAAGCTTTCAATCGATTATATAAATCATTATTGTTAGGCGTTTCAGGTGGTGCAGGGTATTCGAGAACATCTCTAACCATTTAATTACTTTAAAACTCTTGGTTTCTTTTTAGTTTTTAACAGTTTCTTTGCTTTTGCGATTTTAGCTAAAATATATCTTCGACCGTAATGGAACCAATTCGAACCTCCTGTTTTAGGGTCAAAAGGTCTTCCATAACCGCCAGGGTCATATGGTGCGACTGCAGTTACTGGTGCTGGTGATGGCGCAGGTGCTGAATTAATCGGCGGTGCCTCAATTGGTGGATATTCTGGCTGTTTCTCCTTTTCTTTAAGTGAATTTAATTTAAACTCTTCGCCATTCAACTGACCTTTAAAATCTTTTAGCTGCTTAGATATTTCATTATCTTCGCCTAAAAGGTTTTGCGACTGGTCAGCGACCCAGTTACCTAATTTCTTTAACTTTTCAGATTTTAATTTTCTGGCAGCAGCTCCCACAAGCATTCCAGCATTATTTTTTTAAAGCTTTTGATACAGCTCCACCAGTTAAACCGTCAATAGCTTTATAACCTCCATACAAAGCTGATAGTGTTGAAAATACCATTTAATGCTTATTAAAATCATTTCTCATAATGATTAACTCATAAAATTTTTCATCGGAGCTAAACGTTAATGAAACTCTGACTTTTTCACCACTGAACCTCTTTATTAGTTCATTAATTCTATCAATTATATTAGCACACTCACTTACATCATCAATGATAGTAATATCATCACAAATTATTTTTACATTTAACGACGTCATTTATTACAAATTAATTTCTTCTATTCTTTAAATAATTAATAAAAGACCTAATACGTGTGAGTGGTTCGCGGTTCCTTTCCTGTGTCGGGCTTGTTTGAATCGGTGTAGATTTTTTCAGACCTGTTGGAATAAGATCAGCCCCGGCAGTTGAATTAATCGGTGTTCTATATAAATTTCTATATAAATATGGTCCCGCTACAGCACCCAGCTAATAAAAGACCTACAGGAATTACAATTCTATTATAATTCCGCGGTTTAGGATCTTCATCAAAACTAGCCCATGCGCTTTCAGTCGTTGAACTCATTTATATATAATTAAATTTTAATAAGCGATTAATATGAGTTCGATAATAATACTATCTTTTCTGTCATCAGGAAGGACAATATCTTTTAGGCTCGATGGTTCAACTAATTTTATATTAAATTTATTAACATAATTAGTTTTGAATAATGCTTCGGCGGAGAATAAACAGTTTGATAAACATAAAATAGAATCTTCAGCGAATTCACTTATACTTGATTTAATGATTGCCGCTTCTCTGGACCAAACACCATTAAATGAAATTGATGTTAATAAATAATCATCATTTTTAATGGAAATTGATTTTGGTAAGTACTCCAGGAGGTCATTTAATGTTATCTGTTCTGCTCCGAACTGAGCAAATCGATAAAAGCATTCATCATTATTAATTCCTGTAATCTCTTGAAAATTTTTATTCGTGTATACATTTTCAATCTCATCACCGACAGCACCATCTTTTAAATCAAATATGAAACCAGCTTTTGAATTTGAATTAACACGAAATTCTATTGAATTAGTTTCAAAACTATAAAACATATCAACTTCATTAGGTTGAGGATATCCGGCACCTTTTAACTGTTCAATAAGAACCGATTTAATCTTTTTATTAAATGCTGTCATATCATCTCCTGTGTCTAAATCTATATAAATCTGTAAATCATATTGATGATTATCTCTTATTATTCCAAAGTTATATAATTCAATGGTTCGTCCTGCAGGAATGGTTTTTATCTGTCTTATTTCAATTGCTTTTTCCAGTGTTATAATCAACCCAGTGTTTAGGGTATTCATAAATGTATTCACCATTGATTATTTTAAACGGTTGTGAAAATATGTGCTCATAATAGATTTTAATACTTTTATCATTAAGACTGGGAACGGTATTAACAAAATTTCTGACTTGCATTTTTAATTATAATAAAATGAAACATTTATTTGAAGAAGTAGATGAAAAAATGAATGAAAAATCTGATAAACTCAATAGTTCATTAATTCTTCCCTTCAGTAAGGATTATCAGTTCTGTTCAAACGGTGTGTATTTCTATTGCGGAAAAATGGGTTCGGGAAAGACTTTTAATTTAATTCGTCATATTTTAATTACTGAACGTTTAGGTCAAGATTCATATTATGACCAAATCATTATATCAGCAACTTCAGATTCAATGGATTCAACAGCGAAGACGTTTATGGTAAAGTTCAGGCATCAGTAATTAAAGTTCCAGATAGCGAATTAATTTCTTTTCTTCAACGTTATATAAGAAGAAAGAAGAAATATTATGCAATAGTTGAATTTATACAAACAGGAATGCAAAAGACCTCGGAAGAAATGGAAAGAATTATTGATAAACATCATTTGAGACAGCATGGACAATATGATTATGATGAAACGATTGACAAACTACATTCTCTCAAAACTTTCAAAATATCCTTTTAAAAAATATCCTTCAAACACTTTATTAGTTTGTGATGATTTCGCTGGTAAAGGTTTAGTTTCAAAACCAGATTCACCATTAGCTAATTTAATAACGAAAGTCAGACATTACCACATGACTGTTGCAATACTTATGCAAACGTGGAGGTTTTTAGCATTAAATATTAAACGTTTAATTACTGATTTCGTTGTATTTCAAGGTTTCTCAAAATACGATATAGAATTAATTTTGAAGCAATCAGGTATAACATTACCTTTTGATGAAATCTGGGATGCTTATAAATCACTCATTTCACCACGTTCATATTTAGAAATTCATATAATGACTAATACAATTAATGTTAAAAATATACCTTGGGAAAGACCAACATTATTTTAAAGCTTTATTTTTAGATGAGGTGTTGTGAATAGATTCCATCCATCTCTATCACCGTTTCTGTTTATATTTTTAGTGTCATTCATGTCCACACTTTCTGGATCAGTTAGTTTTTGAGGATAAAGATTAGAATAACTGTTTTTAATCGATGGTGCTTCACCTTTTAACGCATAAACTCTATTACTTTCTGCATATTTAATGTTTGAACCACCAGAACCATCATTAACGTAAATAGTAAATGGTTTATAATCGATGTTCATATTTCGACTTCTGCCTTTTGATTTCTTATTTAACACCTCAACATCTTTATAAACCGCACCCGTTTCAGTGAATTCAACAAGATTTTCATTTTCAAGTTTCAAGTTTAAACCTTTATCAAAGATATTATTCATTTTTATAGTAATAAAATGTTTTTATTCTCTAGAAAATGAGAAGTAAATCCATCTTAGCCGGTGCAGTGAATGTTCCTATTGAACCTACATCTAATGTTGATTCAAGAACGACAATAATATTATAATCAAAAATTACAGCTCCGAAAACTTGAAAGATAAAGAGCCAGAGCTGAAATCCGTTAATTTAAACACAGCTTCAAACACAAACGCTAACAGTGAAGTTAAGTTAGAATATCCACCTCCATTAGAACCAATCATATCGCGTGATGCTCAAGATAATCCATATTCAACTATTCAAACTAATCCTTCAGATAACGTAGACCATTACCTCCTTAATTTATACCAAGCAATATTACTCAAAGACGATAAGAAGCTTTTGACAAATCTTATTAGTAAGAATCAAATAATTTTAACAAAGGAGGATTTAGAAAATGTTATATCAAGAATAACAGGGAAACAGTGCGTTATTGATTATCTCGACCCCGAAATCGAATGCTGCGGTCAGATGCCGGTATTTATGAAAATCGGTAGTATTAGAATAATCGAAACACCAGGAACTACAGGAGTTGAGTTTAAGTATAAATATTCGAATGAATACACAAAACTTTCAACAGAATATAAACTTTGCTTGAAATATGTTTTAACGAATTAATTTAAGATTTATATTTTTATCCCCGGTTCATCATCTAGTCCATTAGCTCTTATATTAGACCAAAAATCAACTTCTATAGTCATTTGAACAGGAGCTTTAATTTCAATTGGTTCGCCTTGAAAATCAACTAATCTAAATGTCATATCTTTTAAATGGTGTGGTTGAATTCGAACCCATTTTCCTTCGTGCCTTAATAAAATCGGAAAATTAGGCATGAATACAGAATTAACGGCGTAACAGAACGATTTATATTCTATAACAGCATTTTTATTATTAACTCCTGAAATTCCTGTTACATTACTTATTTTTGATTCAACATATAAACAGTTTCCATAACAGATGTAGGGCGCAGACTTCATTTCAATTATATATTTTTGATTTTCAATAGAAGATTTTAATGGTAATTCTTGATGATAAGCACCTAATAATAAACGTGCTTGATGAGTCATATCAGTAATTTTAAATTCTTTTTCGGAACTAAATTTTATTATTCCTGAATCAGTTAATTCACAGTTAAGCCCCAAAGGGGCGAGACCGGAGGTCATGGCTCCATTAAATTTTTCATCAATGAGATCCTGAATCTTTTTCTCTAACGTATCAATATCATATTTATTTCTTGCTTTAAAATGAATTTCAGTACTAATACCATCAATTTCAAAAGTAATGAAATCGTTAGTGTCTGTTATAACAAATGAAGCGATAGTGCTAAAATCAAGAACTCTGAAAGCTAGTGGTTCATTCTGAAGACCAAGGTTAGTTTGTAATTTTAATGTCCCGTAATCATTAGGGTCTGTACTTTGCAAATAGAACAACATTTTTATTCTAATTAAAAATATGAGTATATCCGCATATTCTTATGAAGCTGATAGAGCGAAAAGATTAATTTTCGGTTCATACACGTTTTCATTTGATGATGAGCATTTAATAATCACTGATGGAAAAACTGAACATTATATCTCATGGAAAGAATATGAAAAATTCATTCCAATATTAACGCCATGTACAATGCCTTTCATAAAGGACGGTGAAATTATTGAAAAAGATAATACAACGGTTTATAGGTCTGTTTATGAAGCATTAGAATATATGTTGAATTATAATCCCGAAAGATTTGACCCAAGCACTACGCCATGTGCAATGCCCTTTATTAAGGATGGTGAAATCGTAAGGGTTCCGAATTCAACGGTTTATACAGCTGTTCAAAACAGTTTACAAAACATTTTAGCGAATATCTTTAATTCAGAAACTACAGAAATAAAATTACCGTATATAACAGATGCTAAAGAAATTAAATCAAAACAACATTATTTGCATCACTTAATGATTTAATGACTTATATAATTAATACTCCTTCTCCGACTACGGCATTTGATCCAAACTCGACGGTTTGCAGTGTACCTTTCATTAACGAGTTCAGTAATTTTAAGGGATTCGACAGTAATGAATCATTAAAGGCTTCATTAATGAAAATCATTGATTTTAACTCATTCATGAATACATATAATTCATTCATTAATGTTTCATACACTTCTAAAGAAGGTGAGCCAAAAACTATGATAAAGCGGTGTATGAAATAAAAGCATCAATGACGAAATTGAATTCGTTAACTTTTGACGGTGATAGTTCCGTTAACAGCATGACATCAGGAAAAACGATTTTAACGAAAGAATATTTAAAATCTCATGTTAGTGAGTTCGTTGAAATTGAAAAAGAAGGCGGAATTAAGTTCGATCCACTGGGTTTCATTTTCGACTTAGCGAATGCGGGTGTTAGTTTCGCTGAATGGACAGCTATACAGAGTGAGATAAATGCAATATGGACGTTTTTGGGGTCGAAAGCGGGAATGGGTGAGCTTGTAGATGCTGCAAGAACATTAGGTGAAACGGGAAATTTTGTGGATGGTTTTAAAAGACTTGTTTCAAATGTTTTAACAAACACAAAGAAATTATTTAGATATACCGTACATAACGGACAGATTTTCGAACAGGTAGCAACAAATCCTCCGGTTATGGCTGCGTTGATGATGGCTAGAGACATAAAGCCGCGTAGCGGCGAGGGCGAAGCCCAAAGAAGGAGAAAGAGATACGGGGCAGGTTATTCGAGACATTAAAAACGTGTATCCTGAAGTTATTGATTTATTTAGAGGTGTTAATGATTCGATTTCAAATCATTCTATAACCCTTGATGAAGAGAATAAATTAACAGATTATATATTCGTCATTATTGCAGAACTAATGAAGAGAATAAATGAAAAAGGTATAGATGATATCATTAATGTCAGCGATGTAATGATGAAAAGAAATTTTGACTCATTATTTACAGAACCGAAAACAGAATATAGTCTTTATGATGTAATTACTGAATTAATGAAAAAGATTAATGATAATAAGAGTTCTGGTGGAAGGTTGAATTAGAGGTGAATGATGTTAATGAGAAATTAGATAGTAAGGCAGACAAAAATGAGCTTTTAGCTCTGAGTGATAGAGTCACGAACCAAGTTCATTATATAAGTTCAGATGAACAGATTATAACGGATTATCATGGATATTTAACACGAACTGAAGAAAGAGTGAAGACGAAAGATGTTAATGAAAGAAGATATAAATACATTCGTGCTGAAGGTTATGACATACGCTGTACTGTACAGTATGACACAGGTAAAGCACCAGAAGCATTTGGTTATAACAATGAAATTTATGCCTCTAGTTTCTTTGTTAACGGTGTATTAGTTGAACCAAGATTTATGTTAAGAGTTAAGGCAAAAATAACTTTTGAAGATGCTATTAAAAGTAAAGCTGACAAAGATGAACTTGACGCAATGAACAAAGTTTTGAAATCTCATAAACACAATATCTCCGATATAAATGAACTTCAAGCTACATTAAATAGTAAAGCAGACAAAAATCATACGCATGAATCCTTCACTACTGTTAGAGCAGACGACATAATATTGAACTATACCCTTGGTTCAAGTGCACCTTTAGAGAATCCAAGCACTAGCGTAAAAGATACACTAAACTCCTTAAATAACAAATGTATGAATATCGAAGGTCATGTTCAAAACTTTGAAACATATGAACTACCAGCAATGTTAGATAAAAAAGCAGATAAAGAACATACACATAACTCCTTCTCAACTATTAGAGCTGATGAGATAATATTGAATTGGGCTATTGCTTCATCAAGCATGCGTGATGAAGATATGCGCACTAACCTAAGAGATATGGTTGTTGATTTAGCCAATAAAACCGACAAAATATATGTAGATGAAGAATTAAATCGTTATGATACAAAAGCAATGAGTTATACAGAAGAAGCAAAGGAATGGGTAGATGAAAATTATGCAAAGAAGTCGGAAGTAAATGATAAAATTAATGGAAAAGCTGATAAAGAGCATGTGCATGAAGAATTTCAAACAATCAGGATTAAAGAAATTAATGCATACATTGAAGAAGTAACAAAAACAGGAAGAGACGGTACACCTTTAGTTGAACAAAATATTTATCCTCCTACTTTTCCTAATGGTTTAATAACAAACAATATAAATATTGTAGATGGCGATGGATATATAAATGTTAAACATGAACATCAAACAATGAAGACTCAGATTCTTGAAACCATATATCCTATCGGTGCTTTATATACATCAATGAATTCAACAAATCCGGCAAGTGTTTTAGGTTTTGGTACATGGCAGCAGATTGTAGATAAATTCTTATACTGTGCTAACTCTTCAAATCAAACAGGTGGTTCAAAGAAAATTTTAGAAGCAAACCTTCCACCGCATAAGCATACAGGAACGACAAACACAACAGGTAATCATTCACATTCAATAACAAAAAGAGGTTATACAAATCTTGCAGCAGGTTCGGATAGACAGGGAATGAATAGATATGATATTTCAAGTGACCCAGTAGATTCAGGCGCAGGTATTTTCTGTGGAACCACAGGAAATCATTCACACACTTTCACAACAAATTCAACGGGTTCGGGTGCAGATTATATGCCACCTTATATGACAGTTTATGCATGGGTTAGAACGGACTGAAAGTCCTGAGCTCCAAAAGAGCGAACAGCATGAAATTTACTAAATTTATTTTTACATAAATGAGTTTAAAAGAAGTATTCGAATCATCACCGTGGAGGTCATTTAAAAAAATTCTATGAAGCTGCAAAGAATGCGGGATTTAATGATAGAACAGAAATTAAGAGATTTTATGATGAAAATATAGTTCATCAGGTTAAAGTTAATCCATACGACTACTACCTTCCCATTTATTCTAAAACCCATGATGCATATCAATTTGATACACTCGTTCAGAGTAAGAAAGGAAGAAAGCCACCATTTTTGATTTTCATTAATGTTAATACACGTAAAGCTTTTGCGTATATAATGAAAAATAAAGGAACAAAAGAAGTTTTAAGAGTTTTGCAGACGTTCGTGGCAGAACATCATCCCACTTCATTAACTTCAGACCAGGATTCAGCATACCTTTCAAATGAAATTACTGAATTTTTGATTAAACATAACGTTACACATTACACGACTGAAGACTATAACCATAATATTTTAGGTATTATTAATCGTTTCATTAGAACCCTTAGAGATTTAAATAAAGAAAGAGATTTTACGGAGGAATCAATGAATAAAGTCATTAATGCTTATAATAAGTCCACCCATAACAGCACAGGATTTAAACCAAACGAAATGACTTCAAAAGAGGAGGATGAATAAATAAAACAAAAGAGAATGTTAACGGAGGAAAGAAGAAGTTCATCATTACTGCCAGGAACTAAAGTTAGAATTATTCTTGAACATAAACCACATGAAAAGGTAAGAAATCAGTTAAGTGATGATTATTATATTGTTGATTCCTCACAGGGTAATGGTTATTTAATTAAAGCAGCTGACCATTCGGTTGCGTTTTATCCACGATTTCGATTAGTTGAAAGCGAAAATGGAAGATTAGCTAAGACGGTTGATGAAGCAAAAAGAGGTATAGTTAATAAAATTGTGAGTTATGATGAAGACAAAGATGAATACACTGTCGTTTATGAAGGAGGTGTGGATGATAAAATTCCTTCTAGAAATTTGAGAGAATCGAACCCTACACATTTATCGGAACTCGAAAAGGATTACTGGAAGGATAAAAATAAGCCAAAATTAATCAAAAAAATTTTATGAACTAAATATATTTTATGTCTGTAATTAATTAGGTAATAAAGTAGCGGATGAAATACAGAAATATATTTTATCATGAATGTTTTCGTTAATGTTTCGTAAATGTTTTCAGTGTCACCACGTCACCATGTCACCAGGTTAATTAACTTCTTTAAAAAATGATGACAACATGACATTTAGACAACAGTCCAGGAAATTTGATGCAGCCCAAAAATAAAGTTAGTTTTAAAATTATTTTTATTTCTTTATTCCTATATAAATGACAGCAACAAACAACAACAGCAACTTTATCATTTCTGATGAAAAAGTTATTGATTCATTAGCTGAGGAATTAGTTGTGGCAGAAACTAAAACCCTCAACGAAAGAATTGGTGAAAACAAGATTGATTTACATAACTACCTCAAACACGATGGAGGAAGAGGAAGGAAAACTGGTATGGCTTTATTAGTAAATAAAATTTCGAATTTAACGATTATAGATATTGATATCAATAAATCGTACAATGATGAACTTAAAGAAACGGTTAGAAAAGACATTTTATCAAAACTTTCGGATAAAGATGTTATCGTTAAAACCGCTTCAGGAGGTCTTCACATTTATTGCAACACTAATTTCTTTTATGCAGTTTCGAA